CTCCTGGGCTGCACATCATGTGAGTACATTGCTGGATGTTGCTGGGGTTTGCTGGGGCTGGGGTCTGTTGGGGCTTGCGAGATTTGCTGAGTATCCTATAAGTTATCCTATAGTATCCTACAGTTTCTGACATTTGTTGATATCTTTTGAATTCTTTTGGTATCTTTTGCAAGCAAGAATCATGATTGTGAACATGCAACACGGTGGTCCACCAATAATGGCACCGCCCGAAACCAAGGAGAGAGACAACCGCAGGAGCCTCAAAAAGCCTCTCTTGGATAGCAGGTCCTCTGACCGGCCACCACGGAGGATGTCATAGCTCTCTGCTTGGTAATTCCGCTTGGTCCACGCCTTCGCAATTTTTCCTGTGAACCCGAATATGTCCAAGCAGTGTAGCGTCCGTGGTTTGCAGAACGAATTGACTACACCCTTCAACTCCGTGTAGTGATTGTCTGCAACAAACCAATCGCGTTCAGGCAGGCTTGCAGAGACATCATCCTGATCGCTGGAAACATCTGGAAACAGTTGTCGAAACATCTGCAAAAAGTTTGGCAATCCCTGCATTACCCGTTCCCTGTTGTCCACCCTGTCCTTAGGTGCTCCAGCTTCCCCCAGCGTCACCATTGCCCACAGCAGCAAGAGCATAGGCGTCATGTGGCGCGATACGCGGCGATCCGTGATCTAAGATACAACCCCCAATTCTGATCGCGAGACGCAATCGACGTGAAAGAATGCGCAAAAGATATCAAGAGATTGCGCAGTGGGCGCAGTGGATGCAAAAAGCTGGCTTGCACACTGAAGAAACGTGAAATAGATATGTTCAACAGAATATAACAGAATGCTCCTGCCTCTTCTTCGCCAAACATTTCCTGCTGGTCCTTAAACCGAATGTACGCTGCCATTTCTTGGAGAAACAGCCTCCAACATTCTTTCCTGAGCGTGCAGAGAATAGCACAAACCACAAACAAACCTGCCACCTCACAACTCCTTTCAATCCTTTTCAATCCTTTTCACCTCATCCTCCTGCAACTCACATACCTACATATACTTACTACAGTAATATACAGTAATACACTTTTTCAGAAGTGAAATGGCACAGGACCACTCTAGAATCTATGTGACGCGTATGCTCATCCCATCTCTTTCAAGTTTCTGCTTTGGCCATGGCTTGGTGTACAACTCCTGGCTGGCTTGCAGGTCACATATCCCATTGATCTCTGCATACACCTGAGTATGCGCAGCTTCACTAAATCCCACAAAACCTGATTGATGGCCAATGGGAGACACGATCAGAGAGTGAAACAATTCATCATGATCCAATAGACCAGGCCCCATCCCGCTCTCCCAGAAACTCTGCCAGGCTGCCACGTGTGGCAAGCGAAGAGCGCTCCGCAACTGGTGGTCTTCGCATACCCCGCGAATGCACTCTGGGATTACGCTTTCTCGCTTCAGGTGGAACAAGGCATCTGCGGCAGTCTCGTCCTGCTCTGCAACTCACGCACCACCTACTGTAATTATTTCTGTGGTGGTGGGGAGGTCTAGGCCACATCCCATAATATAGCATGACTAGGCTCTGTGCTCAAATTGGACAACTGTCTTTGGTGTCTTCAATGATTTCAAAGCCTTATAGACCTAGACCGCCTCCAAAATAATTACAGGACTACTCCAAAATATTCCAAATCACACC